ATTGTGACATATTCACTCAATGGCACACTAATGAGCAATAAAAAGGAATGTGTTATTGATAAACACAACATGGATGAACCTCAAAATAGTAATGCTGACTGAATAAAGCCAAGCCAAAAAAGAGAGAGAGAGAGAGAGAGAGAGAGAGAGAGAGAGAGAGAGCGCATGTATTATATCATTCCATTTCTAGAAAATTCTAGAAAAAGCTAACTATCCTATGTGACAGAAAGCACATCAGTGGTTACCTGGGGATAGAAGGACTCCAGGATGGGCAGAAAGGAGGAATTACAAAAGGAAAGGAGGAAACTTTTGGGCTTGAAACATGTGCTCATGATCCTGGTTATGTTGCTTGTTTCACAGGTATATACATATGTCAACACTTATTTAATTTATTAAAATTTAATTATACTTTAACAAAGCTTTACAAATAATAACTCAGTGGATTAAAAAACTGGTAAACTTTTAAAGACAGATTTGAACAAAGTATCCAGATCATAGCACAGAGAAACAAAGTTATTAAAAGTAGAAGTTTAGAGACATAAAAGATAGAAAAGGCTTAATATATATTATTTCAGTATTTCAGAAAGGAAGGAGATCAAACAGGATGTGGCAAAATTTGAAGAATAATGGCTAAGAATTTTTTACAGAGAGATACTAATCCACAAATTTTAAAAGTCCAGTGGATTCCTAATGGAACAAATAAAAAGCAACATACATTATATACATCAAAGTAAAACTATGGAACACCAAAGGATAAAAGAAGATCTTAAAGGTAGCCAGAGACAAAAAGACTTTCAAATGACAGATGAGTAGCCTAACAGCTGGCTTCTTTACCACAAAAAGGAAGCTGAAGGATAGTGTAATGATAGCTTTGATGTGCTGAGAAAATAACTGTCAGCCTGGAATTGTGTACCCAGCAAACATATTTTTCAACAACAATGATGAAATAAATATATTTCCAGAGTAATAAAAGCTAAGATAATTTTCTTCTCTAAAGGAAATTCTAAAGAATATGATTTAGGCAGATGAAAATAATCCCAGAAGGAAGATGTGACATGAAGAAACAAGTGAAAAGACAAGAGATGGGCAATTATGTGGATACATATTAATAAATGGGCTTAAAAAGACAAGTAATAGAGCCTAGGTGGCTCAGGCCAGTTGTCCTGGTTCTTGAGGAGGTATGGCTATGCATTCGAGGCCAGTCTGTGCAACAGAAAAAAAAAAAAAAAAAAAAAAAACGAGTAATAGACTTGGAAATGTGTTTACAGTATATATAACAGGCAAATAAAACATACAGATCTAGGATATATACAGAATCCTATAAATCATATTCATCACTTTAAAAATCACAAACATAAGAAGCTTATGAATGAAGGGCAAACTCTCACTCATGGATGAGACACTCTACAGCAATCAGAATGGATGAATTTGATCTGTATGTCCTGTCATGATGAGATCTTCAAAAACACAATGTGGACCTTAAAAATCAAACTGAAGAATGATAAAAGTATGATACGTTTATATGTACTTTAAAGATATAAAACATATGATATATTACTGGTGATTTGCAAAGTATGAAAACAGATTGATACAGCTGGTGCCAAATATATAAAACAACATAATTATTTTTTTAATTTTTCTTTTCTATATATTGTTATATAACATATAAGGTTATACTTTATATGCAGTCTATTCCCACAATGCCACTTTACTTAGAAGAGAACCAATACTCTTATACATGAACTTTATCATTCTCTGTGAGCTAAGGACTATAGAGCAATCTCTGCTACAGTATCTCATTTTCTGTAGAATATCAAGACAACTAAAGTGAAAGTGGGAAAATGAATCAAGAAGTAGTCTTCCTTCTTGAGGAGAGAACACAAGAGTTAGATGACTGACAAACGGATGGATGGATGGATGATAGATATGTGGGTGGGTAAGCAGAAGGATGGATAAAGAGCTACAAATACATGTGTGTGGGTGGGTGAATAATAGTGTGGTGGGCAGAATAATATCTCCCGTCAAAGATATCCATGCCTTCACGGTCCTGATGTTTTTTTCTGAGACAGGGGAGCAAGTCATGTGAGGAGCAAGAGGTGGAGTGTGCAGGTGGAGGTGCAGGGACTAGCAGATGCAAAGGCCTTGAAGCTGGACTTAACTAAAAAGACAGTCATGAACCAACAAAAGTATCAGTGATGACTGAATCATGATTGACCAATAAATGTTTGTGGACTTAAAAAGCTCAGCAGATTCCTCCTCAGTTCACCCAGCCAGGGGTTCTTGGTTAGAGCTTCAAGTCCTTGTTCAGACCCCTCCTTGTTCTGCAATGCTCCTGCTCCCTCCTGTACCCATCCATGGACTCTTGCTGTGATTTGTTGAGTGGAGATGCAGTCTATTCTCACAAGACCCACTATTGAGACCAAAATTTGCAAACTCAAATGCTATAAGGTCCAGGCAGATAGCATAACTGAAAGAGGCTGGCCAAGGGTAAGGCATTAGGAGAGGCAAGCTCGAGAGCACAGTGCAGAGCCCTGCTCTCACCTGTGGCCACTGCTCATCTCCAGCTGGCTGTTGCCATGCAAAGAGGCAGGGCCAGTGTCTTCAAAGCTTCCCATATTTCAAGAAAAGTTAGAAATCCAGATTTTTGTGAGAAATCTTTTCCTCTAATCATGTGGTTGGTAGTGTCAAAAATTTTAGAACACTTGGCCTAACGGTTCTTAGATGCACTGTGTTTGGCCCAAGAGCTGCTAGTGAGTTTGCAAGATGTCCTGGAGAGATATCTCCAATTCTGGATTAAGAAAGCTTCCCCAGCCACCTCTAGGTGTGGGCACCAGGTGCATAGCAGGTGCATCGTAAATATTTGTCAAATTAGTCAAGCTGAAGTCTTGGGAAAGTGGGAGCTGTTTGTGAGGCATCCTACCCTCTTCACCTCCCCACATCTTCCCGATGATGCCTGGAGACTTCAGGCTCATCAGTTGCCAGTCAGATGTAATTGAGTGCTTCCTCCTTGTTGGTCAGATACTGGGGAGGACCAGCAACCATGGGCCAATGTCCCTTAGTTCTCAGAGACCCACATGCAGCCCCTCCATCTGAATGCAATGCGTTCCCCTTTCCCCGAGAGCAGTATTTGAATTTTCCTTTGGAAGCCTATCCTTCCCACACCACCAAATTTGGGCCAGGGCTGATGATGAGGCTTGGAGGCCCCGATGACACAGGCCGGAGGGGGTCTTCTTTTGTTCAGACTACCTTGAGTTGGGCTTCTGTCTTAGGACCCTGAGTGATGAAAAAGGACGGATGCTGAAAAGGAAAGCCCCCCTCCTCCAAGCCTGCTCTGGGGATCAGGCCAGCACCATCACCTGGCTGTGTCAGAAATGCAGAATCTCAGGCACTGCAAGAAAAATCTAGAAAATGCCAGGCCACTAGAGTGCCCAGGACAGGCTGGGATGCAACAAGACAAGCCACCAGTTGGCACACAGGCTATGGAAGGAGACTGACTCGTTCAAATATGGGTCCCTAGGGAGGTAATCTAAGCTCTCTGTGTCACCATTTCCTCATGAGAAAAATGGGGCTAATAATACGATCCATATTGTGGGCAGTACCTTGTGGGATCTCCTGAAACAATCCATGCCAGAAAGTGATTAGGGAAAGCCTGGTACGCAGCAAGTGCTCTGTAATGTTAGCTCTGGACACATGGTGCCGGCACACCATTGATAGAGGTGGGAGGGGGAGCCAGAAGAGAAGAGGTCATCTCTAGCCACTGAGGGTCTGAGCAGCTACAGGGGAGAGTTAGGAATTTGGATTGCCCCTTGAAGAATATCCAGACTTTGGATAAATTACTGACAGGCCAGGTGCAGTGGCTCACACCTATAATCCCAGCCCTTTGGGAGGTCAAGGTGAGAGGATGGCTTGAGGCCAAGAGTTCGAGATCAGCCTGGGCAACATGGCAAACCCCATCTCTACTAAAAATGAAAAAAACAAAAAACCAAAAAAAACAAAAAAAACATAGCCAGGTGTGGTGGCCCATGCCTGTAGTCCCAGCTTCTCAGAAGGCTGAAGCAGGCAAATTGCTTGAACCCCAAATGCAGAGGTTACAGTGAGCCAAGACTGTGCCACTGCACTCCAGCCTGGGCAACAGAGTGAGACTCCATCCAAAAAAAAAAAAAAAAAAAAAAGGGGGGGGGGGAGGGGGTTGACAGTCTAGGAGTCTAGGGGAGAATGCTGAGAGCTGAGGTGTGGAGCACGAATGCATCAGGGATCTGGGATTAGAATGCGGATTAAAGAATGGGGTTAAGGTGGAGGGGGAGCAGGACAGGAGGAGGTCACAGGGAAAATGAGGGTGAAAAGAGGGCAGGGGTTGGCTAGAGAATCTGTTTTTTAACTTGTACGCAATGCACAGCCTGCCAGGTTTTGAGCAAAGGAGAAAGACAAACCAAGAAAGACACAATGACTGAGCGCAGGAAGATCCGAAGGTCCTCCCGTTCGTTAGCAGTGGACACAAGCATGCACATATCGCAAAGAAAAGACTGGAAGGGCACTCTCCTGAATGTTCTTGGGGATTATCTCTGCGTGGTGAGATTACTAGGATGTTTTATTGTCTTCTCTTTGCTCATCTGTATTGTCTAATTTTTCTGCAAAGGACATTCATTGCTTGCATAATTAAGAAAGCAATAAAAGCTATAAATAATTAACACACTGTCTCTTCAAGACTTAAGTTGAATGGATGTGTTTTCAATGTAATTATTTCAAAGATTTCCTGGATTTCTGGCCTTAGAAAGGTGCCATCGAAAAACACACAGGCATTGGGTTGTAAGGGGCGGGGGGACTAACGGGGAAATGAATTCAGTCCTTTAATCACGAAACTCTAAACCCTAGGAAACAGGAACTCCTTCTCTGGAGCACACAGATACCTTTTGAATCCCGTCTTAAGTTCTTCCAGAGATTTTGCAAAACTGTGAGCTGAGGGTACGTGTGGAAATGACAGAGGTGGCCACTCGCCCTACCTTTTGGGGTTGATCCTCAGTTTTCTCTGCTTGCTGTTCCCATAAGACATCTTTGTCCTCCTACAAGGCAGGCCCTTCTTCTGCTGTGGCTCAGACACCTGGTCCTGGGACATCACCCCTGAGACTGTTGGGTAGGGGAGCTGAAAATACCAAGCATGTTGGCATCATGAGGAAGACAACTCAGAAGCGTTCTCTCTCTGCAGACAGGATGCCTGTCTTCAGAAATCAAAACGGAAATACTGCATTGCTAAGTGGCCTGAGCCAACCAGGCAACTCAGAGCGTTCCTGGACAGAACCTCCTGAAACCCACCTGGGCTCAACCACAGAGGAAAGCCTATGCCATCAGTGTTAACTGGAGGCCAAAGAACACAGTGACCAGCTCCTTTACTCCGCTAACCCCACCTCTCTGGGAGCCCCCACACTCTGGGGCCCTCCTGATTTACCTGCTACTCTTTAGATGAAACAGCACTCCCCACAACTCTGAGTTCCACCTAGAGAAAGCTGAACAACCTGCAAGGCTCTGGTCTCCAGGCCTTTGTCACTGTCCACAAGAATTAAATTAGAGCTGAGCCTCCAGGACTGTCCTCAGTGGCCGTGGCCCAAGCTACCCCAGAGCAGAGCTAAGCCCTCAGTCATCACAACCAGGTGCATGAACTCCGTCTCAAGAGGAAGCTATGCTTTATTTCATCACCAAGTAAGAACACCCGTGAGCATCCACCACATTCCCCCTTTTATCTGTGCTCCTAGGAACCTCAGAGGAAGGTCTGAGTCCAATCAACAGTAATTCCTTCTCCAGAATCCCCAGGGTAATGACTCTCTCAATTATTGGGAGTCTATCTCTCAAGAAGACTTCCTGCTTTCTAATCTTAGAGTGATCCGGAGAACCGCCTCTCTGTGGAGTGTTTCATTTTACTTTTTGCCTGTCACTAGGAAGCTCAGGGAAATTTTACATTTGATTATGGAGAATATCTCACCCAGTGTCTCGAGTACAGTAATTCTTTCCTGTGGAGCGTTTGTTTTCCACCACTCTGTTTTGGTTTGCATTTGGGCCTGTATTCTTTCCTGCTGTGTATGTGGCATCCCCAGCCTCCCCGAGAAACAAGCAAGCAGACATAGTGCACAGCAGATGCTACATGGGATGGCTTCACACTTCCCTCCCTCACGACAGGTCCTGCGAGCTAACGACATGCTCCCTCAACCCCGGGCCCCCGGGGGCAAAGCCCAGCTTTACCTTGAACATCTGCACCGGCCCTCCTCCTCCAGGGCTTGTCCGGGTCCATCCTCCATTGCTCCCAGGAGGGCCGTCCGGACCCTCATCCCGGAGGCCGCTGCCAGGAAAGTGCAGCGCCAAGTACACAGATGCCGCCTTTGCCTTCTGCTCCGCAGGCAGAGGGACGCTGCGGCTCAGGCAGCACCATGTGAGCCTCGGCTCGGCCTTCAGCGAGGGGAAGGGGCTGTGGAGGCTGTGGATGTCATGGCTCCGGGATGTCCCTGAGTGGGAAGACAGGGCCAGCTCTGGCCAACCTGAGGCCACACCCTGAGGCCGAGTGAGGGCAGTGAGGAAAGAGCCAGGCTGGAGGGAGGAACTTGGGTCAGGCCCTGCCAGGGACTCTGAAGGAGGGTCTTCTGGGGCATTCTCAGGAGGCTCCCCTACCTCCCAGCTGGGTACCCAGGGATTTGGGACATCCCCAGAGGGCCTAGCCTTTGCCAAAGTGCTGCCCATGCAGAGGCGATGGATACGGTGGCGGTCACCCTCCGTGTCCTGGACCAAATGGGCCTCACACGTTGGGGTGGGCTGGGAGAAGGTGGTCTCCCTTGGAGCCCCTGAGGCTGAGACGTGCGACTCCCTGGCTGCTGTCCTGCTAGTAGCCATCCTGTCTCCCTTGTCCACTCCCAGCTGTGCCCCTTTTCTCCCATCCCATGGCCTGGAACAGCTGGGGTCCTCCAGGATGCTGTGTGCCTCACCTGGGGAGGGGCCTGAGGCTGAGCTGGAAGGCAGAAGGGTCCCCAGTCCTGACCCAACAAAGGATGCCCGTTCCTCAGGCCACCTACTGCTGCAGAGAGAGTCCTGGCTGTGCCTGGGTCCCCCGGGAACAGGCAGTGGTGAGGGGGTCTCTGCCTGAGGTAAACTGAGGAGGTACTTGGGGGAAAAGGCATTGTCTGCCAGGGCAGGGAGGATTCTAGAAGCCAGAGGCGGAGTGGCCAGCGGGCGCTGCTCCCCGGGGCTTGGGGCTGCAGGATGCAGTGGGGGAGCCTTGTCTCTCAGCCTCTTCGGAGCAACAGAAACAGCAGCCAAGGAGGCTCCAGAGGACTCCAGAGGCTCGGCCGCTGGCCTGGCAGTCTCCTTTGAGCCCCCTGGCACCTCCCCAGGATCAGCATCCTGCTTCTGGGATGGCAGAGAGGCAGCCTGCGTGGGCCCACGTGGGCTCTCTGCACCCACAGGCTCCGGTTGCTCCTGGCTGTGCAGGTCCTCCACTTTCAGCTTCTTCCTCTCCGAGGGGAGCTTGTCCCCTCCAGAACCACTGCTGGGCCATCTCAGGACAGTCTGGGCCCACGGGCAGGTCTCCTGAACATTCCCCCCACCTCCTTCCAGCTTGGGGTCTGGCAAAACTGGCCTGGGAGCCTCTAGGTCACTCCCTTTGAGGGAGCCAGGTGCTGGGGGCAACTGCCACCCCAATTCCAGCCTCCCATTTGAAGAGAGCAGGGGGCTCCTACTGCCTGAATAGGGACTGTCTCTGCTGCGCGGTGCCGGGGATGACACAGCCTCTTCCACCCTGGGTCGGTTACCATCTCCTGTCCTGGCTACTGTCTCCCCATGCTTAGGGGGCTCAGTCACCAAAGAGGCCTCTACGGCAGGTGGATTTCCCCAAGGCTCTGGTGTGACCCCTGTGGATATGTCCTCATGGACAAGGGTCCTCCTGTCTTGGGTGGGGACTGTGCCCGAGCTCCCCGCTGCCTTTTTCTGCAGAGGAAGGCCCGATTCTGCCCCACTGCCCACTCCCGCCTCCCTAGTTTTCTTGCCTCCATGGGGACTGGCTTTCATTTTCTGGTAGATCCTTTTGAATGTCTCATCCCCGTACACCTGCCACTTCTCCTGGGAGAACATCTTCAGCCTCCTCTGGCCGCACTTCCTGCCGCCCGCCCTGCCCTTGCTGCCCGCGGCTTCCCGTGCAACAGTTCTCTTTGCCTCCTTGTCTTCTTCAGGCACCGGGGCGTCTCCAGTGGGGGTGCCTGGCAGGTCCTCCACTGCGGCCTGTCTGACCAGGGCCCGGGGGTGCCCGGGGACGTCAGCTGAGCTCAGCCCCGAGCTGCAACCCAGGCGGGCTGGGCCGGGCCTGGGGCTCAGAGGCTTCTGCGTCCTTGGCCAGGGATCCCGGGGCTCCAGGGGCTCCAGCCACGTCCTGGAGCCCTCGACGAAGGGCAGCGAGTTGCTCCTGGTGACAGGGACACATTCCACAGTGGTGGAGAGCTGACTGGGGATGGAGTGGAAGAAGAGGGGCCGAGACTTGTCAGGGGGAGTCCAGGTGGAGCGCGCGGGGCTCAGGGCCCTCCTGCGGCCCGGCTCCAGCGCACGGATGTCAAAGTGGAAGGAGTCCTTGTAGGTGTAGGGCGTGGGTAGGTCGATGCTGCCCTGTTTGGACAGCCCGGTCTTCCGGGGCCGCACGTTGTCCAGCTGGGCGTCGTCCATCACCGCCTGGTTGTGGGAAATGAGCCGCGAGATGCGCTCCTCCAGCTGCCTCTTCTCCAGCTCCAGGCCGGCTCCTCGCACCCCGGGCTCAGGCCCCGCGCTCCCCGGCCCTGCACCCAGGCCGCCTTCGCCCTCGGACTCGGCACTGTGCTCCGAGAGGCTGTGCAGGGGGCTGCAGGGCGCGGGCGGCTGTTCTGCACTGTCGGAGCGCGACAGGTACCCGGAGTCTGTGCTCTCACACTTTCGCAGCCGGCCCTCGGGGGCCTTGGCATCCCAGGGCTTCTCGGCGGCCGTGGCCTGCTGACGTTGCAGGGCGCATGGCTTCCCGGCCGTCGGGGACTTCTGTTCCGGCAACTTGCGCCAGGGCTGCGTGCCGGCTGCCGTGAGCCCGGGTGATGCTGTGGGGACAGAGTCCCAAGGAGCATCTCTGTCGGCCAGTGGGGACCCTAAACAGGGAGCAGCCTCGGTCTTCACATCCAGGTTCTTGGCAACAAGGGGCACGTGGGCGCCCGGAGAAAGGGGTCTCTCCGAGGCCCCTTCGCGCATCCCCTGGCTCTGGTTCTCGCCCTTGCCGTCTGCTCTGGGGGGCTCTCCGGCCTTGTCCCCTTCCTCCAGGAGGCCACCCCCAGGCCCCTCAGACTCAGAGGACAGCCGGGAGTTGTTGAGGTGCGTCTGCGTCCGCCTGTGCTTGTAGAGATTGCTCTGGGTCTTAAAGGCGATGCCGCAGGTAGCGCACGGGAAGGGCCTCTCGCCGGTGTGGGAACGGATGTGCTTCTCCAGAACACTGGGCTTCAGACAGTCGCGGCCGCAGTGCGGGCACAGGTACTTGCCAGCATTCCGCACCTTGCCTGGGCTACCCAGCGCAGGCCCCAGGCCTGGCGACAGGACAGGCAGAGTGCCCACAATGTTCACTGTCAACGTAGGGGCCACCGGCTTCCCCACCTGGGCGGGGCCAGGCCCTTCAGGCTGCAGCACCGGGCTGAGGATGAACGGCAGGGTGCCTCCATCCAGGCTGCCTGTCACGAGGGGGGCGCGTGGCTGGAGGCCCCCGGGAGGCACCGTGTGGTACAGTGGGATAGGCAGGGCCTTTAGGAACACAGTGGGGGCCAAGCCCTGCTCTGGCGGCAGGAGGACAGGGCCCAGGGTCAGGTGAGGTGAGGCCTGGCCACCTGGGGCCCCTGGAGGGCCAGGAGTGGGAGCTGGCTGGTCCCTGGCAGGAGGGGCAGGGCAGGTGGGTTCTGGAGCCTCCATTCCACATCATCTGGACGGCCCAGGATGCTGGACAACCTGCAGAAAACAAGCGTACTTTACCACGGGTACCTCTCCTCTCTCCTCATGCAGTCAATCGTCCCTACCTGCACCAAGCACTTCACCCCACGGAAGCCTGACCATCCCCCAAGAATGTCCTCTCATCCCAAGTGAGAAAAGGGAAAGCTGAGGCTCAGAGAGCAGAAGTAACTGTGCAAGCTGACATGTAGCAAAGCGGGATTTGGACCCAGATCTGTCTGAATCCTACCTCTTACTTAAAACATGCCACCTACACAGGTCCACGGCAGGCTCGTCACCATCATCCCCGGGCACCAGCACAGTGCCCCATGCAGAGAAGACACTCAGAAAATGTGCTGACTTCATGAAAAAGTCATGCAGCTTGTCAAGGTCCTCCAAGTTCACAGTGATTCCATGCACCTGGGCAAATCCCTTTTCTTCTCTGGGACTCAGTTTCCGGATCTGCAAAATGCACAGGAAATCAGGGCCTTCCCACTCTGAGGTTCTGAGTCTGCTGCACGATGAAGACAATAAGAAAAAAACTGACCCAAAGAAAGGCTTGCCAGATTTAGCAAACAAAAATCCAAGACTCCCAGTTAAATCTGATAAACAATGCATAGTTCTGTAGTATGAGTATGTCCCAAGTATTGCATGAGAATTACTTTAGATATAAGTATGTTCCAAATCTCGCATGTTCCGTGCTTATACTGAAACCTGGAGCACTGAGTATCTGAAATTCAAGTGTAGCTGGGCATCCTGTATTTGATCTGGTGACACCACCAGGAAAGGAATATTTCCTCAGCCTCAAGACAAGACTTAGGACTCTGCTCAAAGGTGGGGCTTCCAAAGCCCCTCCAGACTGAGTTAGGACAAACTGGTTCCCTCTAAGCCAGGAGGAGTCACTTGGCAAATGCTAGGGGAGGGAGCAAGAGAGGTCCAGCTGTGCTCTTCATATCACAAAGGAAAAGCCAGGTGCAAGAAGCAAATTCTGGACTGGCCTGTCACTAGAGAATCAGGGGTCCTCAGATCCTTTTTCCACAGACACCCATCCCCAAGGAGCTAGATAAGCACACTTCACCCACGCCCAGCTCCTTTCCCCAAGGAAACGATCCACATTCCAGCCGTTAGCAACAAGGTGTTCTAAGCAGGGTGTCATGGTAGTGGCATGTCTGGGCATGGCGGTTCAAACCTGTAATCGCAGCACTTCGGGAGGCCAAGGCAGGTGGATCACCTGAGGTCAGGAGTTTGAGGTCAGCCTAGCCAACGCAGTGAAACCCTGTCTCTACTAAAAATACAAAAATTAGCTGGGCATGGTGGCAGGAGCCTGTAGTCCCAGCTACTCAGGAGGCTGAGGCAGGAAAATTACTTGAACCAGCGAGGCGGAGGTTGCAGTGAGCCAAGATCATGCCACTGCACTCCAGCCTGGGTGACAGAGTAAAACTCTGTCTCAAAAAATAAATAAAAATAAATAAATAAATTTTTAAAAATAGTAGTAGTGGCACACTGAGCAGCTACACCATTCATGCTGGCTCAAGAGAGCAGATGGTTAGTTTCAAAAATTGTGCAAGCCAGTTGTGGGAAACACAGCCATAATTAAAATATACATTATATAAGCTTACAATTAAATAAATTATATTAAAAACAAATAAATGACAACTGGATAATTCAAAATTGACACAGATCTAAATGTAAGCTCTAAAATTATAAAACTCTTAAATGACAAAGGATTAAAACTTCATAACTTCTTTGGATTTAGCAATGGATTTTTAAACATGACACCAAAAGCACACACAGCAAAAGAAAAATAAATTTGACTTCAAAGTTTAAAACTTTGGTTCATCGAAGGACACTTTCAAGAAAGTGAAAAGACAATCCACAGAATGGGAGAAAATATTTGCAAATCATATGCATGATATATCCATATATAAAGAACTCTTACAATGCAACAACAAAAGACAACACAATTTTTTTTTTTTTTTGAAGCAGAGTCTCACTCTGTTGCCCAGGCTGGAGTGCAATGGCATGATCTCAGTTAACTGCAACCTCCACCTCCCATGTTCAAGTGATTCTCATGCCTCAGCTGCCCGAGTAGCTGGGACTACAGGCGTGCACCACCACACCCAGTTAATTTTTGTAAAAACTCAATTTAAAAATGAGCAGAGGACTTGAATAGATTTTTTTCTCCAAATGCCCAAAAAGCATATAAAAAGCTGCTTTATACCATCAGTGTTAGGGAAATGTAAATCAGAACCACAGTGAGCTAGGACTTCAAAGCAACCATGGCAATAGTAAATAATAATAACAAACTAATAAGCAATAAAATAACAAGTGTTGGTGAGGACATAGAGAATTTAGAACCCATAAATATGGCTGGTGGGGATATAAAATGATGCAGCCACTTTAAAAACAATTGGGTAGTTCCTCAAAAAGTTAGACATGGTATTACGATGTGATCCAATAACTCTACTCCTAGGTATATACCCAAGAGAACTGAAAGCAGGTGTTCACACCAAAACTTGTACATGAATGCTCATAGTAGCTTTATTCAAAATAGCCGAAAGAGAAAAATGACGCAAATGTCCACCAGCTAATGAGTGCATAGACAAAGGGCAGCACACAGTGCAGTGGGGTCGTGCGTATTCAGCCGTTAGAAGCAATGAAGAGCTGGCACATGCTAAGACAGGGATCCACCTTGAAAACGTCAGGCTAAGTGAAAGACGCCAGACACAAAAGACCATGTTTTATGATTGCATTTGTATGAAGAACCTGGAATTATAGTGATTGCCAGAGGAAGGGAGGACGGGGAAGGAGCCTTTAACTGGGTACAGCATTTCCTTTTGCGGTGATGAAAACGTTTTGGAACTAGACAGAGGTGGCAGTTGCATAAAACTATAAATGTACTAAATGCCATAGAATTGTACACTTTAAAATAGTTAAAATGATGAATTTAATGTTATGTGAATTTTACGTCAAGTTTAAAAAGGTACTGCCCCAATTTTTTAAAAAGGTATTGTCTTCATGGAGCAAAGGTACTCAATTTTTTAAAGTACTTTGGCCTGCTATAACAAACATACCCTAGACTGGGTGGCTTAAATGACAAGTATTTATTTCACACAGCTCTGGAGACTGGAAGTCCAAGATCAAGTCCAATTCTAAGGCAGGCTCAGTGCCTGGAAGGGCCTGCATCCTGCTTCCCCAATGACCATCTTCTTGCTGCCCCTCACATCATGGAGAGGCCAGTGGAGCTCTCTGGGATCCCCTTTATCAGGCACTCGTTCCATTTGTGAGGGCTCCACATCATGACCTGACAGCCTTGCAAAGGCCCCACCTCCTAATACCACCACATGGGGAGTGAGAATTTTACATGTGAATTTGGAGGTGCGGGGAAGAAACATCCAGTTCATACCAGCTCCTACATACTCAGAGCTCACCACCTGCTAAAGATTCTATGGCACCTTCCATTCTCAGGGATCTTGGGGCCATTTATGTGGAATGTACTGGTGTGGTGGGAACACTCCCTGGCAGTATGGAGCTCCCTGGAGGTGTGGAATGTCACACCTCTGGCTCTTACCAACCTCAGTGTCAGTAGTGTCATGCTCACAGCTTGAACTGGCCGCAGTGGAAGCCCTGACACCATAAGAATCGACAAATGCTATAAGTCAGTTTTTTGTTTTGTTTTGTTTTGTTTTGTTTTAATCCTGAAACTGGCTTCAACATTTACCTGCATACCATGAGCAGAAGGGAGGACCCAGAAGACCACTACAACCACACTCTGTCCCTCTCCTCAATCTCAGTCTCATGAATCTCACTGCAGCACGCCATCTGCAAGAGCCCCTGGCTTCCAAACAATCTGAGACATGATAAGTTTTTAAGGAGAGATGGAAAGGCAGGAACCTTTAGAGATGAGTAGATGGCTACCAGAATGGGTAAGAGCTAATAGGAATGGAAGATAAAGGATTACCTCAAGACACGGCAACCTTTCTACTAGCTGAGAATTTCAGAAACCTCCCCAGGAGATCAGTAGGCCTGAGTTCCTTCCCTGCTTAACCATCTTGCTAGTGGGTGGCCCTGAGACTGTTTCCTTGGCTCTAAGAATAGTGGCATTGGGGCACTATTCTTAGGAGGATCAGATGAAATAAATTATGTGAAAACACCAAGTGCTGTGCCCAGCACAGAATAAGAGCTCCATTTATTTCAGTTTGCAGTGATATGCCATAATATTTTGAACTATTAACTACCGATTCCTCCCCCACCCTGTCTTCCTCCTACCCCTTGTCTCTTCCCCCATCCGTCAGCTCAGCAGTCTCCATGCCTCGCCTCTAGCAAGGGATGCTGTCTCGGGGTGGGTTCCTGAGAAAAAGATTCTGATCCAAGTATTTTATTTGGGAGGTGATCCCAGGAAATACTAGCAGGGAAATGAGAAAGCTGGATGAGAAGGAAGCTACAAATGTCCAGCAAGTCCCTACTGTGGGTGACAGGAGCTTCATCCCACCAGGGGACACCAAGAGATGACGTAGAACACGCATCCTGGGGTGAGGGAGCTGCCGGCATCGAGGCTGCCTCTGGGAGCAGCTGTGTCTTGGTGTTTCCAGCCACGTGTGAATGCCCAGGGCAGACTCTGTGGCCGCACGGAGCCATCGGAACAGAAGTGCTGCCTGCAGTTGGCTCTGAAATGCTGAGTCGGGCACAGGTGGGCAGGGCTTGTGTCTGTTCCTGTGACAGAAACTCAGTAAAGGCATTTTAATTCCCAAAGCCCTAAACCCTAAGGAAACTGGATGAGTATGAGCCTGTTGTCCTGATCCCCTAGTTCTAATGGTTGTGGGTGGGGAGGTCGTGGAAGAGAGGAAGGGAGGAGTCAGTCCCTCCAGCTCCCGCCTCAGTGGCAATTCCTGCTCCATTCCCCAGGGAAGTCTGGAAACAGGGGTGCCAGATGCAGAGCATCAACAGCCTAGAGCACATGTCCAGGCAGGAGGACGAGGCTCACA